TGTGGGAAGCTCAAAAAGATCCAAGACCAATATCGTAAACATCACAAACATTCGCAAACAATCCAGGAGAAATTGAAATCAAATAAATATCCAAGAAATCCTCAACTCATCGAATTACCCGCCACCAGGCCGCAATGAGAAAGACTTCATTGTTCAACTTCATGGAGATCTCTTGCGCCAATTCTCCTGCAACGGTATCAACATCTCTTGGCAACGGGCGCCTCGAAGTTGCAATACCTCTACGTATTGCACATATCAGGCTTAAATAAAGAGGCTTGCAAGAAAGGCTGAGAGAGTCAACAGAGAAAACACCGCAGCCAAATACATTCATACATTCTATGTTTCGTTGGATGTTCAGACCGAGGTACTTTCGAGAAAGCCGGCTTCATCGAAGCCGTCGAGGATCACCAAAAGGCGCCCATTCTCTCGAGCTAGTCCGATGAGCTCCCAATGCTCTGAGTCCTTTGAAACGAGGAATCTGTCTTTGCTCCTAGTAGCTTCTTGCTCCTAGTAGTGAGGCCAGGAGCCCCTAGTAGCGTCTCCTAGTAGCGTCCATGCTCCTAGTAGTCGGATGAATCTGGATGAATTAACGAAGGAATCTCTGAAGTAAGAACCGAAGAGGAGTTGAAGATAGGAACCAACGGGATTGCTGTTTCCAGCACCGAAAAGGTCAGCTGTAAGTTGACCCGGAACGGGCTGTGGGGATTGTTTTACAGGTTTCCAAACAGCCACCACAATGCCGTGAAGGTTCTTCGTAGACCATGGTTAAATATTGGCTCACCTGCAGAGCGGACAAAAGGAACATGGCAAACATGCTGCAGACCACTCTTTCAATCAACCATGGTTTTTGTGATTCTACTGCGAACAAGCGTCCGACAAAGACAAACGCCTACTTAGCTACGTAGGGGCTCGAGGGGTAACACATGGTAACACTAACACTACGTCATCGTCAGCAACGCATCACAAATCAACGGATCTGGTGGGTGCTGCCCCATCACAAATTTCAAACATTCTACACTGGAGCCCTCATCGCTGGCATTGTGCCATGTCGCCATATCTGTTTCCTCCGCGAAATCCTGGTGGCTTCGAACCAAATCCTTGGCCGTGTGCCAGGTCTACTAGCTGATGTGCCCCCAACAACAATATTAGGCGTTTCGGCATGCCTTTCCAGAAAGAAGGAAAGGTTTTGAATGCGCAATGATTCCAAACAACTGTCTATCCGAAAGGAGTCCGTTCTCACGGCTCAAGAAAAAAGCAAACACACAACAAGCAAGTAAGGAAGTGAAAAATGTCTAATTCGCATTAGGCCTGTGGTTGCTAAATGTGTGAGCTGAATCTCCTTGCTCTCCGAACTTGTTGCGAAAAGTCGAAAACTCGCAAAAAGTCGCGTAAAGGCAACGATGATAAAAAGAGTCACCCACCAAAAGGTCGCGGGGCTTGCCGGGTCCTTTTGGCGGGCATCTCTTTTTTGAAGGCGTTCCTGCTCGAGGCTGACTCACTTTGACACGGCTGGAGATGTCTGGAAAACAGCAACCTATACCTATATCTGTAGGAGCAAAAGCAACGTTTGGATCAATTTTGCTAGACTTTTGTTGAAGGGCACGGCATGTGACTGGTGTCCAAACATCTCGAAAAGTCGAAAAGTCTCCAATAGTCTCTCTGCGTGCTTTCGTTTCCTTTACCTTTTTGTTATTTTGTTTGACTTTTTTCACTTATTGATTGTTTGATTTTTCTGACTTTTTGCGCTTTGCTTGGTGTCTTGCAAATAGATGGTCGCTAAAGGATTTAGCGAGCTTAGCATTAGGCAGGCCATTCTAAATTGTAAAATTCAAAAACATACAGCAAATAGCTATAGAATTCAGCACCAGAAAAGCACAAAAAAAAACATGAAAAACACAATGAACGCAAATGACGGCACAATGAAAACAAACGAAATGAACTCCAAAGGTGACTATCATTACGGCTACGCCAAAAACCTTCCCCGAACAAAATTGGAGAGGTTCGAGCGACCCCGTTCCCCCAAGAGGTGGACTCCAAAAGATGTGTGCAAAGTGATTGAGTGCAGGCTCAGTTTCCACCCCTCTTTGGTCGTAAAACTATACAAGTCTTGCCAAGTCTTTGCAGAACCTTTTCATGGCCCTTCAGCAAGATGGCCACAACGCCGGCACATCATTCATTGTATATATCCGTGGCTTCTAAGTTTGTTCAAAAATGCAACCCGGCTCCTGGCTCCTAACAATTCACCACTAACATGGAAGCAACACAAACCTGGTCAACAAATGGAAATTGTTTAAGCAGTGCTAACCTGAAAGCTAATAATGGTAATACTAATTCCACGTTGGTCTTTCTTCACAGCTTCAGCCAGGCTCAGCCCGCTTCCATGTTTTCCCAAACAGATACTTTGCTATTGAAACAAACGTGGCATTTGAGGCTGCCGATGTCATACTCCTATTCCTTGAATGTTTCATAGAGAGTATCACCTCAACTATGCAGTGGTGCCGTTGCACGGGCACCGCACCCAGCACGGAACGCACCCACGGCCACGGAACAAAATGGCACGGGCACTCTTCCCTTTTCCAGAAAAATACTGAAAGCATCCTTGCAAGTCACATGGAAAAGCACTGTTGAGAACTGATGAATCATAAGAAGGTTCTGAACGTGGAGACAATATGGCTTTGAATGCATAGTTTAGTAAGAACATAGGAAGGATAATTGGGGCTTCAACCATTTCGGTCCAATCGTTTTGTCTTCGGTGCCACAAAACGAAGCTACGCCAAGCATCAATGGTGCGCACCATCACTGGCACCAACCACTTGGTATCAGGGCTTCGCCTGCGATGTGAAATGATGTGGAAGGTCGGCGATTTCTTTGAGATTCTTGTGCTCAACTAGTAACAAGATTCGCTACTAGGAAAAAAGGGCATCGCTACTAGGAACAAGGACGCTATGTTCGGGGCTCCTGGCCTTTCTACTAGGAAGAAGAAGCTACTATATAGGAACAAGAAGCAACTGTGAACACATCTAAACAACACAAGAGCCAACTCTCGACACAACACAGGCATTCGGAGCAACCGAGTTTCCCACTGACCACCGAGCATCCAGGTGGCAGTCCTCCAACGACCCCGTGCTTGAGCCCGTTACCCATACTCGTGCCGAGACCCCGGCATAATCCACGTGAGCAGCTGCTTGGCAAAGGTGGTTTTCCCACCAGCGGGGTCGCCTTTTACTAGAAGCCTCGAGGCAAATGCGCCCGAAGTGAGACGTGATCCCGGATCCCTCATCACCTGTTTATGGTGATTTGTATCTGGCTTGTATTTCATCTTGGGGTCTCAATAATGATGGCATTGATGGGCGCCCGGCGACCGTGTTCTGTTTCGTTTCCTGCAAATGACGGAGACAACCTGGGCTCGGACTGTCGTGTTTTGATCTCTCTGCGAGGACGATCTTTGACAATGAAGGCTTTGCTCACCGACTTGCCACCCTGTGCGAAGCAAATGTGTTGCAAGCAGCACAGTGGTTGAGTCTAAGACTCGAAGATTTCGGGTGGACAAATTCAGGCGGCCTGCAGGAATTCAATACACTCTACAATACTATGAATCAGAATGCAATCTGTCATCTAAAAAACACGCACGCTCCGCGCTCTCTCTCTCTCTCTCTGTGATACCAACCCCCACCTCAGTCACAGTCTTCGAGTACTGGAAGTCCTACACCAGGAAAAAAGCAGGACCCGCATGAGCTGCATGCCACTACTGCTGGAAGCAGGGCCGATTAATTGATAACCAAAACTCAATGCCTCTCCAAACTCGAGAGATCTCGAGAGGAAAGAAAAGGAAGCATGGATTGATATGAACGAAAATGAACCACTAGCGATGGCCTCCAACCTAGAAGCAATGTGGCCGCCATCCTAGAAACGATGGCCTCCAATCTCTCCAGACTTGAGAGGCAGCATGGATATGAACGACATGGAACAACCCTAGGCAGCCAAGAATCGTAGGTCACAAGTCCATGCTCATCTTCCCGGTTCACTCTGTGAATCATCCCCTGCTGGATATCATCTCCATCCAGTGCAGTCCAAGCAGGCATTCCTTGCCTTGCAGTGGCTTGGGACGAGCCCATAACTTTTTCGGTGGCCACCCTCCATCACCCTCCGACCTACAGTGTACCTCTCAGCAAGTTGACTAAGGTGACTAACTGGGAACGCACCTGAGGACAATTGGGGCTTCAATGCAAACAGTGCAAGCAAGTTGCCAGAGTTCCTCCGCAAAATCCTCAGAAGATGGCTGGCAATCAACATCCAACTGCTGAGTGTGCATGGAATTTCCATGCTGCTGAGTCAAGTGACGTGCTGAAAACAGCATGAGTGGGGGCCTTGTTCACCATGAGCATCCCATTCCCAGATCGATTGTTCCGGGTCATATTGGCCGTGCCAAGGCACTGAGATGACTTCTCGATAGGCATCAGTATCTCCCACCTTCACACAAAGGGCAGCACCAAGCAATCCAATATCCACACCATACCTACATCGATGTGCTCACTCGGTATTTGGAAGATGTTCTCTTGACTGTTGCCAACATGTTTTAATTAGCTCCTTGATCTTATTGGATGTTGGCATACGTTCGCAAAGCAGTCCAAGAGAAAAACAACTATACTGCAAGCCACTGCAAGAACGACTAGTCAATCCGGCTATTCCCTTCCTCTTCCAATTCCATCTGGCCTCATGATGGTTTTGCCCAGTCTCCAGCTGCAAGTTTACACATTGTTGCATGATGTCAACCTGCACCGTGCGACGGCAGGTTTGTCATGCATTAGGCACTTGGCAATGCCAATGGACGTGTTTGACGGCCGAGTTCCTAGGTCAACAGTATGCCAAAATGAAGACTTGTGATAGCAAACATGTCCAAATCTAATCAACGCGTATATGTGATTTAGGCAGCACAACTGAACCCCAATCGAATCCGCAAACAGGGAGTTTGTTGCAATAGATGTTTCCAACCACTCATTGTTAAAAACTGTTACAGTTCTTCCAAGTAAAGCAAAACAATGAGGAGCTCGCGGATAGAAGCAACACTCCAAGTTCACCCAAGCTCTCTGGGATCAAGTTTTTTAAGCCGTGCACTTCACAGAACTGGCTCAAGGGCATTTCCCCTGCTCTGGCTTCTGAAAGCTTTCACCATCTGAAAGCATTGTTTCCAGGCGCAATGCCAAACAGCACTTCAACGATGCCAGACTTAAGACCAACACACAACATAGCTTTTGGCGGAGGAAACCGTCTGGCAGGGCTGGGCCGAACGACGTCATATAATAAAGTGCAGCGTCTCTGGGCTCTCATCTTCTCTCACCCTTGCACCATTCTTCTTGCTTCATGCAGTAGCGGAATTGCCACAGCACCTTGCAAAGCTGAGTGACTTGTAAAGAACATAGGCTCTAACAAATGATCATGGATCACCTTTCTGACTTCTGACCTATAGTTTATCACAAACTCATATGTTTCTTCACGTTCTGGTTGCAAGCCAAAACCTAACTGATGTCAGCGAACCCCACAGATGCCCATAGCTGAACTGGACATCATGACTGGCACACCCTGCATTCCCTGCACATCTCTGCACTTTGGCGATGTAAAGCCACCAAACCATGCTTGAGCGAGAAACAGGACACAAAGGAAACTAGGGTAACTAGGGCAAACAAAAGCCCATCAACAGCACTGGGATGATACGGATGGAACGTGATTGAACCGATTGAACATGATTGAACCATTTTCTGAATGTCCATGCCACGAGCCGGATGGATCTACTGACCCATACCTTAAGCTTTTCAGCGGATCCATCCATCCGGACGCTGAGGTCACTGTCTTTTTTGTCGGAAGTGGACAGTGAGCCGGTGAGGCTGAAGGAATTTGTCTGGGAGACTTGGAACGTCAATGTCCCGCTCCCATGTGCACAAAAAAAAATGCCTGAGGCTTTGTTCATCGGAGCCTGGAACATAACTGTTGCCGACAGTGGAATACTTCAAGTTGGATCCTTGAAGCACTTCGACACTCAAAGCCTCAAGATCCGTAGGTCTTGCCGGGGAACCGGCCCTGTACATGTCTGCATCCCCACGTCGTGGCACAACGACAAAGTGATCCTTCAAAATCAATGAAACGTCCGCGGCGAATTGGTCCAGCTGCTCGATTTATTCGAAAACACTGGGCAGTGCAACTTGTTGCATGTAAAAGTTGATGTGATATCAGAACGTCCCCAGACTCCTTCCCACTCTGCCCAGTGCTTCTGTGAAGAACCCGCTGGTGAATTACAGGAAACAAAGCGACTCACACATGCTTAGCCGCTTAGCCATCACGGCGATCCTTGCTCAGCTGCATCAGAAGATCCAAGAGGTAGACGAACATGTTCACCTTGGTGAACTTGGTTTTGTTACTCTCGACCCTTGCAAAGCTGATTAATTGATGATATTGATGGACGCACAAAGAGTTTCAAAGTGGCGTTGGGTGCTGCGTACACCTACAGACCTACATGGCACCCGTGACATCAAGTCGGCCAACGCGCGGTATCTTGACAAGTCGGCCACAAGGATTTCAGAACTTGGTCTATTAGAATTGCGACTCAGTATGGGCGACTCAGAGGCTACAAACATGCGACCTGAAGTTTTGAGAGGCTACAGGCAAGTAGGTAGGTTGAACTATACCTCATGACTACAGTGGTTTAACAAATCAGTGTGAAAATTGCAAGATTGTCAGTTCTCATAGCTATGACAGCAGCATGACATCACATGAACTTGCTGCAAAGAAGCAATGTCCATGTACAGCTGGATGGCGCCCTCGATGAAGTCATCCACTTCAAGCTCATGGGCAATGCGCCAGGTATCAAAGACCAGGTAACAACAGAAGACCCCAGCGCCTAGAAAGGAGACCTCAACGAGATTTGTGCACGTCATGACCATGCGACCCCTTCACTGCAAACATGTAGAAAATACCTCATAAAAAGCCTCAATCATTCCATAATATTCCATACTGTTTGCCAAACTGAGACGTGCCCTATGACCATATGGGTGTTCAACTGGGTGTTCAATATGTTCATTGCTTCTATCTAAGTTTCATCTAGAGTATTATTGCTGCGTGGTCCCCCTTGCAGGTTCTCAAGGTGTTCTTTCCTCACACACAAAACACTTTGGCAATGCCCGGAAACGTCGTGGCTTCGTCGTGGACAGTATGCAAGGACGCTAGTAGGTTGGAGGCCATTCCCTACTAGTAACAAGGGCATCGCTACTTTTAGCAAGAATGCTAGTAGGTTGAAGGCCTATAATTGGTCTCTCTCATGGGATGTCTGTATCTGAGCCAGGTCTGCCACCCTGCAGGAATTGAGACTTCCGTGCACGCCGTGCGACCGCGAATCCCATGAAGCTCGTGTTCAAAGATGGGAAGATGGTGCAGAGCAGTCCAAAGCCAAAAAGGCCAAAACTCGCTTGCCACAGCGCTGCGCCTAGCAGGGAAAAGTCCCTCTTGGAGCCTCGGAAATCACATGCGGCGATAGATGTCGACAATGAGACACTTCAGTGAACGAGAAAAGACAAAGAAAACTCAAAGGAATAAGAGTCTGGGTCATTTCTTTGGAGAGAGTTGTATGTTCTTTCTCTTACTGTACCGTGTACGGAGTTTACCCTGGATACTACAGAAAGAGCACGCTATTGCTTGGCTTAAAAGATTAGATGCAATCTCAATTGATATCAACAAAGGCGAGATCTATATAGCTGCTTCACGGTTTCTAATCAACAAAGGCTTCGCTAGTGCTGCTAGTTTCTTAGCTGCCTAAAGCTGCTAAGAACTCCCTGTTTAGCTAAACACTCAGTGAAGTACAAGAGCGATGCGGAAGAACCGGAGAAGAACTGAACAAGTTTGGCGAAGGCACCAACAAACATGCAGGAACATCCATGACTCCCTGGCCCAACTTCCATTTCAAAACTCGTGCATGCCCTAAGGATGAGACATGATGAGACTATGCAGCAACACGCGAGGAGAAAATTGCACAGAGAAATGCACATGTGACTCACATGTGTCAGAAACTGCAATGAACCATCAGGAAGTCGAAGGTTGAAATCGGTGTTGGATAGGGATGTCGACATCCTTTGCGTTTGGCCGAGCCGCTGGGCCCTCCCTGCCGCCGAGCGTCGGAAGGTGTAAATGGTGAGCCCAAGCACCAGGAGCGCGGTGAGGACGGCAGCCTGGGCATGCCACTGTTCGCATGCAGTGCGAATCCAACGGGCCGAGGGCGGCTGAGACTTCACCGGCAGAAGTTAGGCATTTGCGACAGTCGAAATCCCAAAGCCAAAAAGCATTCAAAAAGCCCGCTGCGGCAAACGATGCAAAGGGATGCAAGGGGATGAAAGGGGGTAAGAAACGGGTCAACAAAATCGTGTGACAGAATTGATTCCAAACCTGCACCAGTAGTGCGCCCAACCCAGCAGCAGAGATCATGGCGCTTAGAATGCCCACATCGAGAGCCTCGGCTCCAAAGCAAATGAAACTTCAATTCTGATGTGTAAAGTGTAAAGCCTTCGAAGCATAAGATTAAGAAGCATGAGTTTCCCGTACCTTAAACAAACATCTTTGTGAGCTGTCTGCCATTTCTTGCCCTGGACGAGAATTGGGTTTCATAGAAATCATGTGAGACCTAGAAGTCCCGAGGGCAAAACACCGGGTGGGAAGGCAGCTCAACATGCCGCAAGCACAGAATGCTTACCTAGCATGAAGCCACTGGTGGCAATGGGCTTCGTTTCCTTGTGGCACGGACGCTGCTGGTGGCTCCTGACCTTACTACTAGTAACAAGAAGCTACTACGAGCAAGGGCATCGCTACTAGTAACAAAGGGCATTACTACTAGGAGCAAATATATAGCTACTAGGAACAAGTGGATGCTACTAGGAACGAAGGAGTTGGAATCTGACTGGTTTCATGGGAAGCTTTGCGGCACTCCAAGTCCGCTGGTTCCACTGGCCTGAAGCCAGTGCTTAAGCGTATGGTGAAAGGTACAGAAGCCGCTCTCAAATAGAAGTGGGGCAGACCCGATGTCAAGTCCAGTAAGAGTCTTCCGCAGCGCATGTGAAACCGTTGAACGCCCTGACACCTCCTGACACTCTAAGCTCAAGTGGCAATGGCTGCAGTGAGAACACACAAGCCGTAGAAATTCACTGGGTAGTGATTCTTACCTCAGCTGCCCGGTGACGACCACAACTCCCACAGCACTATCCTGCAGATTCACTTCAAGGGCTTTCTTCAGCTTTCCTTGGATCTCTTGTGGCCTGGTGTGTGGAATTGAAAGTGACGGCGGCAAAACCTAGAAATTGCATGGAATGTTGTTCTGACATCCCACTGTGTGAAATGCAACATTCTTCAAACCAGCCAAGCCGCCTGTGTGGCAAAGAAACAAGGCTAAGCCATTGGCCAAAAGCGATCCCCAATGGAAACAATTTGGCCAGTTCCTGAAGCAGCTGTCACATGTTGCCCAAATGTCTTGCTGCCCAATTCTTGCTTAGTTCTTCCGCATTTGGAGTGAGCTGTAATGGCCGCTAGTCACCTACAGCCCCCTGGATGCTATTGTGACATGACACATTGCGAAGGTGATCATCGGACTTTGCAACGGCCCACACGCCAATGCCGCCACTAGTGCGGTGACGGTGACTTGTGTGGAAACAATGCCGTAGACCTTCCTTGGCATGCGCAATCCAGTGACTGGCCACTGTTTGGTTTACATGTCTTCAATACATCCAAAGAAGTTTAGTTTAAACCTCTCTGAGTGACACAAACCGGAGTTGAGTATTCTCTCGGAGTTGAGTTCATATGAACTCTAAATCTCAAGAACTGTCATTGCGGCGAAGCACCCACCCGTTTGCTTCGCTGATGAAACGCACAGGCGGCTCTGCTCTCTATTGATCTGTCGTCTTTTCGACCAAAGCACTTTCTTTGGTACCCCTTACTGTCCTTACTGCTATGCTCTAGCAAGGGTTTTCGTTTGAAATGACTTTGCAAATGCACGTGGGAACCTGAGGCCTTTCCAAAGTCTTCTTGATCAAGGGTCCTAATGAATCCCAAGCGGATCTGCTCTCTGGAGATGCCATGGCCACGCTCGAGGTCACAAACAGCCATCTGCAGTCTTTCCGGTCTTTCGAGCAGTCTTTCGAGGTCCCCAGTTCGCCACTTTCGTCTTGCCAAAATGCTGCAGCAAGCAGCACAGGCATGATCAAATGGACTGTCAGGTGTCCAAAACGCAACTCAGTGCGATGGTTGCATGTAAGATCATGTAAGACTTATGTGGCGATGTCTATGTGAGTGGCATGAGAACAGTAGGCTCAGTAGGCACTTCAATGATGGACCTAACAGTAACAATATGGCGTTCATTGGTGGTCAGTATTGATTGGTGCTGTGAACATCTGCAAAATGCGTCAGCAATCCTCGCATCAACACGCTGGAGGCCCTTCCTCTCCAATGCACCTGGTCTATCCAGTTCTGCTTATGTCTGCTCGATGAAGGAACCAAGATGAACCAAGTCTGCACTGCGGTGTTGTCGGTGTTGTTGCATTGTTGCCCGCATGCTGAGCCGCGCCTCCTTGGCACCAAGCAGGCTCTAGGGATGGCAAAAGCTGTCATCCCAACACAAAATCTGTAACAGCACAATAAACAAATTTGGACAATTAAAAGGCGTTCAACAAATCCAGTGCGACAGGGCAGAGTGAACCTGACAAATTTTGGACCAGGCCTTGTCGCTTGGTAGGACAGGCAAAGGTCTCGCACATCTTCGCATTCACCTAGTATCACTAAATCTTTGCGGAATCTTCTGGAACTTCCTCTCTTCCTGGTGTTTCTGGCGCTCTGTAGATGGCAGGTGTTAGCCATAGAACGTCCTGATACAAGGGCCGGAGGTTGCATGAGAGTTTCGCATCGCCAGTCCCACTGCAACATGGTTTAGATGGTTTAAGAGTTTAATCCTGCAACACGAAGATTCCTTTTGACGCGGATTTCCTATGATACATGATACAGGCGACGCAGGATTTCCTCATCGGGAGCTGCTTGAATTCCCGGGCTTTTGGCGAACAGCCAACCTTTGAAGTGATTGAACAGCATCCTACGTAGTAGCTAGGAGCGAACGGAAGCTTAATCCCTTAGGTGGTCTCTACTTCTACTTAAATAGTTAAGTAGGAGCGGACTAAAAAAGAAAAAAACTAGTGGGTTCTGTCGCACGAAGTTGTTCTTGGACACATCAGTGCGCATCCTGCCGCTTCCTGTTGGAATGTGTCGGCCGGTCGGTCGCCCACCATGTCTTCCAGTCCTCGGTGTGTCTTAACTCCCCCGCCAAGCGATGATATCCGGCTGCAAAGGCCAAGCTGCCTCAGCTCAAAGCTGTGAACGACGAGGCCAAGCTGTTTGAGCACAGGTACCTAGAGAATCTGGCGTTTGTTTCTGCCGTCTTTAAGACTATTGTTGTAGCAATTGAAGAAACACGCTGCATTCCCAGAAACACGCCGCGACTGGCCTTTAGCAAGCTTCACAAAAACACACCGCACGCTGACATGGGCAAACATGCCCGCAAACGCGGGCAAACAGGCTGCAACTCCAAAAATGTCGCAGCACTTCTTCAACACCTGGTTTTTCCTGAACGGCATCGAAATTTCCATGCCAGTGGAGTCTGTAGGTATGTGTGTGTTTGTGTATTTGTGTGTGCGTTTTGGTTTGAAGTAAGTTGGTATAAGCTGGCGATCTTGCACCTGCATGTTCCTCTTGCGTTGCGAAGCACAAGGATTTGGTGAAGGAGCCCCCATGGGGGGACAGCTGATCAATTTACAATGTGCATCTTATTCTTCTGCACACGACGTGCAGAATAAAAACAACACTTCAAAGGGCCTTCTTTAAAAAAACAGAAGGCTTGCAGATGCTTGCAGTGAGTCATGTTTTGAGAAAAGGATCCACTTCACAACTTGGGTAACTTGGGCCTGTCTCCAACGACTCGTTTGGATTGCAGTCTCGGTGCTTGGAGTGTTCCGCTCTCGGTCCGGCGCCATGGCCTGCCGTGTGTCGAGGCCATGAAGCAAGAGGAAGCGACAGGCCTCCACGGAGCCAAAGCTGGCGGCCTCCGATCGGATGAGGAGCCCCGTTCGTAGCGATGCCCTTGCTCCTAGTAGCGATGCCAGGCCCCTAGTAGCGTCCTTGCTCCTAGTATCGATGCCAGGAGCCCCTAATAGCGTCCTTGCTCCTAGTAGCGATGCCAGGAGCCTCTAGTAGCGTCCTCGCTCCTAGTAGTAAGGCCAGGAGCCCCTAGTAGCGTCCTTGCTCCTAGTAGCGATGCCAGGAGTAGCGTCCTTGCTCCTAGTAGTAAGGCCAGGAGCCCAGTTCGTAGCGTCCTTGCTCCTAGTAGTAAGGCCAGGAGCCCCGTTCGTAGCGTCCTTGCTCCTAGTAGTAAGGCCAGGAGCCCCGTTCGCAGCGTCCTTGCTCCTAGTAGTAAGGCCAGGAGCCCCGTTCGTAGCGTCCTTGTTCCTATAGTAGCGATGCCAGGAGCCCATAGTATAGGATGATCCGCTGGATGGTTCGTTTGACAAATGGACAACACAGTGCTTCTTGCTCCGTTCGTGGCGATGCCCTGTGTTCCGTTCGTAGCGTCCTTGTTCCTAGTGATGCCCGGAGCTACTACGTAGGATTTATTGGACAGTAATAACATTGCAATATGGTGCCGAAGTTGAAAGACAATTGAGCCTCATCGAAAAGGGCTGGTAGAGATTGGAATCACGCGTCCCAGGTGCAGGTGGACGAATCACAAATGAAATTGCCTTACCTCAGCGTGCATGCCCCATGCCTTATGGAGGGCGTTGTGCCCATTGCAATTGGCAAGGCTGGCCTTCACATCATTCGACCTTAAGCACAAAAGACTTGTCGATAAAGTCACCGATTTAGCATTTGGACCTTCGACATCCCTCAGCAATGGCCTCCAACTAATAGCGATGGCCTCCAACCTGGAAGCAACCTAGAAGCGATGGCCTCCAACCTGACAGCGATGGCCTTCAACCTAGAAGCGACGGCCTCCAACCTAATTTGCAAAAGACCAAAATCCTAAGTTGTTGACAGTTGCTTGCTTGCAGGTCGCTGACAAACTGTCTATCACAAGTTGCCGTAGTTGGTCCAAGTGGCAACAGAAAGTCTAGCATTTGTAGGCTTGAGTGTTCGCCGTCCATCCTGGCAGCTTTGTGCCTCAGTCCATGTCCACGATGTCCAATCTGTATGGGCCAATCATGCTGAACCATGTCATGCCATCTCTCGTGTGATGAGAAAATAACGAAACGACCAAACCATGCCATCTCTCATGGCAAGCTTCACAACTGCTTGTGCTGTCAAGGTCACATTGCATTGCACCCCCAAGAGTTTAAATGATTCAGATCCTCAGGTCACAAATGGTCAAACACACACACACCATATATATATATTGTATATTCTGTATATATAATATATAAGCGACATGAGCGAGCAATATATATATATAATATTACTGTAAACATTAAAAAAACTAAGAACTATATAGACTTTGTTGTTGTTGTTGTTGCGCATCGGCCGATCACGTCGATTCCATATCGATTCCACGATCGACTCGACGCAGCGAGGCTCTGCTCGTTGCGTGGCCAAAAAACGGCAGGTCTCCAGGTGGCCCTGCCAGGCTGCGAGCATCAGCGGTGTGTCTTTGCCATCGGTCTCCACGTCCACAAAACCCATGAGATCCAGCAAGTAGGCACACACGGAGGTCTGACCCAATCCCAACGGGATGCCACTGGGCAAACAAAACATAACTATAACTACGGTATAAGCTGAAGATAGCAGAAGCAAACTGCTCGACCACAGCACTTGAAGATCCAAAGCACTATTCGACTATATTCAACTGTTCTTTCAAGCGGGCCTGTCCATTCCGTGCTGCCCAATGTAGAGCGCAGCGATTCTGATGCTTTTCTGAGGGCGCCTTCGGATCCATTCGCATTTGCACCAAGTAGCGGCAAATCCTCAAGCATGCCACAAAGAAGCTACTACTAGGGGCTCCTGGCCTTACTACTAGGAGCAAGGACGCTACGAACGGGCCTCCTGGCATCGCTACTAAGAGCAAGGACGCTACCAACGGGCGCCTGGCATCGCTACTAGGAGCAAGGACGCTACCAACGGGCTCCTGGCATCGCTACTAGGAGCAAGGACGCTACGAACGGGCCTCCTGGCATCGCTACTAAGAGCAAGGACGCTACCAACGGGCTCCTGGCATCGCTACTAGGAGCAAGGACGCTACCAACGGGCTCCTGGCATCGCTACTAGGAGCAAGGACGCTAAGAACGGGCCTCCTGGCATCGCTACTAAGAGCAAGGACGCTAAGAACGGGCCTCCTGGCATCGCTACTAGGAGCAAGGACGCTACCAACGGGCTCCTGGCATCGCTACTAGGAGCAAGGACGCTATTAGGTTGTTTCTGCCAAAAGGTGCCAATGCCAACGTCATGGAGAAGGAGCTTTTCAAACAAACTGCCGGGTACCGTTCTGGACTGATCGGCTTGCAATCGCTTGGAAGGTCCGTCGATCTTGCGCCAATGTCTTGAGTCTTGCTCAAAAAAGGCCAAGTCTCTCCAGGTGTCCGTTGCCAGCTGCCCAATGCAGTGCTTTATTTCCATGGTGATCCAATGCAATCAATGGATCCCAACGACTCTCCACCAGGCGCTGCCTTGGATTGAGTCATCAAGAACGTCCAAACTGGCCGAACAACAGCCTTCATCTAACAAAATCTAACAATACCAAAAATTGTCCTGCTGTTCCGTGATATGCCCGTGGCAAGCTGCAGTTCCTTCAGGTTCCCATCCCTTGCCGCCTCTAGCCCTGGATCCAAGCTCCTCATCGCGCTGCTTGGCTGTCAATGAGAAAGACCTACAAGTGAAATCACTTGATCAATGGCATATGGTTGTTGACTGCAACACGGACTCTTTCTTGTTGGCCACCGAGCTACTGGAATCTACTTACGACGGAAAAATCACATCTGTGAGTCATCGGATGTCACCTGTCGTTGTATCACCTGAACCATTAGGTTGGAGGCCATCGCGAGTACGCTGGAGGCCATGGCGAGTACGTCGGAGTCACCGGAGGTCACAGGATCTGCCCCCCAGTCCTTCGGGACACCTCCAGAGCTGCGGCGGCGGCCGAATCCTGGCAAGGCAGCAAGTAGTACTCCGCTGCCTCTGGGCCTCAGAACAGAGTTGCAAACCAACGTCCGTATCGAAAAGAAAGGGAGGGGGAGGGAGGCGCTATTAGCCATGCACCCACATGGTATTTCGATGTATTTCATAGTTATGTCTGGAAACAGGTACGTAAGTGCTGGCATGTTGCTGTGGAGAAAAGAATAACTATATATCCTGTCTCGCACGGCAACTGAGGCACTGAAGCAGCGGGTGTCCTGAGCATTCTGCACATGGGTCCGAAAAGGGTTGCCCTCCTGGAAGAAGGTGCTGCAGCCTTTGCAAAGGATCCTTCCACGTTTCTTCCTGATGGACGCAAGGTCAAAGTCCGAACAGTCCACTACACTGTCACTCACTACACCGGCCCATACCTACAAGCGCTACAAGAACCCCGCTGGAATATCGCTGTTCAGGACACTGTGTGCACGTTGAGCATCTTTTCAGGGCTCTACCCTCTATCTTTGGGCTTCACCATTGGCTTCTTTGTCATGTGCACCACAGTACGTGACCTGCTCTCCTTTGTGTGCTGGACGCGGCAGCACGGAAAGATCACAGAACTGATAAACCCTCACATGACAGGCAATGGTCGGTGGTGATATGACATGATATGATCAATACGCTCGGAGAAACTCAACGAAGACCAGGTACGACCAGGCCGATCTTCGGTCAACCCTTTTTGACCGTTTTGTTCCGCTAAGGAATCTCAGCATCTGCGAATGAATCACAGGTGCATCGCTAGTAGTAACAAGTGCCTTACTAGTAGTAACAATAAGAATATAAATGTAATTCCAAGGATCTGCACATCCAAATGCTTCATGCTGAAGAGTCTTAAGCCACCTCCCGGCCTTGGATGATGCGCCTTGCCAGGTCTTTCGTATTAATAGCAAAAGGCTTGTAACAGCAATGGCCTCTAACCTAGAAGCGATTGAAGCGATGGCCTCCAACCTACTAGAAATGGCCCCCAGCCTGATAGCAATGGCCTCCAAGCTAGAAGCGATGGCCTCAAAACCTTTTTCCAACACTCAAAACCAAATGAGCGCTTCGCTGTAGCGAAACACACAACGCAGCAACTTTCCTCGGAGTAATGGGAAAACGTGAGGCGTTTGATGCACCTTCAAACACTTTTTCCAAAACACATGTACTGCAAAAACAAATCAAAAAGGACGCGGAGGCAACAAACACTAGTAGCTTCGTTCTTGATGTTCTTGCTATTAGTAGCGATGCCCTTGTTACTACTAGCATCTACTAGCGTTTTCTTCTCATTCTGTTTTTGAGCCGGGATCTTTCAACGCAAGGAGTGGCGGACTTGCAGTAACAAAGGACGCTACCAAGAGCAAAGGGCATCGCTACTGGGAGCAAGAAGCTACTAGGGGCTCCTGGCCGTACTGCTAGGAGAAAGGACGCTACTAAGGGCTCCTGGCCTACCACGTAGTATCAAAGGACGCTACAGGATGCTACAGGGTCATTGATGCGAGTTGGGTGCATCCAGTGCGATGGCCTCCAACCTGCTCGCGATGGCCTCCAACCTAATAGCGATGGCCTCGAACCTACGAGTAATAGCGACCTATGCTCCAAAAGGACAAGGCTGGAAGTTGACAAAATCTTATGAGTCGATTCCAACGGCACGTCCAACGAGGCGTGGTTTAACGCAAGACAGGCGTCTCCACTGCAACGTGGCCCACCAGGTCCGAGGCCATGAGCCGCTCCCGCAAAGCCAAGGCCAAGTCGAAGGGCTCGGAGAAGGGCAAGTCCTCGAAGCACAAAGAAGCAAAGCTAACATCGAGTTATCAACAATCAGGAAACGAAGCGATCAAAGATGGAATAAGTGCGGCCTGCAAAGCCATCCAAGAAAAGCCTTCTGCAAATGAGTTGGACACCAGCTTAGCTAGGCTGGTCTCTCTCTCTCTCTCTCGCAGTTCGAGAGTGTGTATTGCCTCTTAGCTGTCTTGAGAGGGCTTGGTTGGCTCCAATGGGCCAGTGTTTTGGGCTCCAACCTAATAGCGAGGGCCTCCAACCTACAAAATCTCTTGAATGTGGAGGGCTCAAAGGAGTAACCGCTCTCTGCAGTGCACACCCTCAATGTCAAGATCCCTCAACACAGGTTGCTGAGATGTTGACACGTACCCCTGGGGCCCTGCCTTTCTGGGTCAACACGACCAAACCTGACGCCCGATTATCAAAACATTCACAATAGAAAGGCTATGACAAAGGCTTCCATAGGAGCAAGAAGCTACGAACGAGGCTCCTGGCATCGCTACTAGGAGCGATCGCACGCCCGGATGCCCGGTCTTTGGCGGAACTGTTCCGAGTCTCTAGGCCCAGGCCCTGGTAGCGCTTCCAAACCGCCGGAGCCACGCTGCTGGCGTAGCAGCCCTCCCAACGACCATTCAAACGCCGCAGCGCTGTGGAGCGGCCCAGGTGCTGAAGGCTCAGACCTGTGGGAAAGGCTGAAACGGTGTCTTCCTTGCTACACAGCAAGGCTCAAACGTGCTCAAAGCTATATGCTTCAAGTAGTTAGGCCCCAACTGTTAGGCATAGTAGTCAGGGGTAGTTTACAAGGCGATTGTCCAGGGCAAACTTCAAGTCGGAAGTAGAGGGACTTGTGCGTAAACTGCATAGGTGGAGGAAACTGTTCCACCATCAAACTTTGACGGCAACTCGTCCCTGAATAAATGCTTTTGCTTGCGCTCAGTGGATGGAAACACATCAAATATAAAATGCACTATGGAACACCGCTAGAATCGCTAGAAGCACAGAACTGAAACAAGAACTTGGTGTGCATGAATGCAGACCAAATTTCATATTATGAATGTGTTTGCAGTAGAATGTTTGGCCGGATGTTTTCCACACTCAAAGCCAACATGCCTTCCTTGAAACAGCGCTGCTCCACCCTGCCTTCATGCTCCAATGATTTTGATATCAGCAACTCTAACAGCTCTGGCTCAGACGCCATGGCCCATCGGAAAATTAGCCTGTTGATGAATGTGAACAACTTAGTAAACACTGTTCCGTGGCAAAGCTTTGGTGAAACATAAGAATTCAAACGACTTCAAATCCATGGGACCGGCATCGGGATCAATCATAAAATCATATGAAAACCAAAGAGAGGGTGATGTCCTGGCAAGACGTTATCCAGGTAATAGGTTGGAGGCCATCGCTATTAGGTTGGAGGCCATCGCTAGTATATAGATTGGTTCTCCTCGTTTCATGTATTGTCCAGCTTGCCTACGGCGTACGCTCGCCTCTCCATGGGCCACATTCAAGGAGGAGCCATGTGACGACAAATCATGGATGGAGCAAGCAAACAGGAAAAAGATTGAAACAGTTCTGAGCAGCATGGACAAATAACGACAAAGAACATCAAAGAACTGGCCTCCTCTCCCGTGATGGGATTGATGATGGTCCCGTGCTCCACCTGGCTGTGCCAGAATGTGAAGTATATCTTTATGCACATGACACGTCATTCGCGACATGAATCCACCAGCCGGATGCTCAAACCCGGGTCTTACAGGGCCCTTGAGTCAGACGGAAAACAACGCGCGTCAGAGCGAGGTTGCTGCGACCTGACTGGTTGCAGTTCTTTCAGAAAGAACAAATCCAGTCAGGCAAGTTGATATGGCACTTGCAAACTTATCTTCATGCATTCCGTACAAAGTCATTCTTCCGTGACAAGGATTCAGCAGGGCTACCGGCGGCTACCGGCTGTCGACCATCTGCCTACCCTTGCAACCATCTACCGGACTGAACAACAGCCCAAACCTTTCCCCTCATATACCGCTTAAGCATGCTTAAGCAACGATTCCTGCCACTAAACAGCAAAGGGTCCATAACTGCTTCGCCGCCTAGATGCCGCTTTCACCACCACCCTAGTAGCGATGGCCTCCAACCAGCACTTGAAATCCCATTCGCATCGACCACCCAACATCACCCGACCTCCGCATAGCGTCGGTATCTCTCTCGCAAACGGTCGATCCTCCCGAGGCAACGGTCGATCAATTGCAGGCTCAAACCATCCGAAGTGATCGAAAAAGAAACAGTCCTCCGGTGAACCGCTTCCTGATCCATGTGAGGGCTCTCCTGAAGGAGCAGCTGAGATTGGCTAAAGCATTCAGGTTCCAGGTTCTTCCTCTTTGCTCTTTGGAGTCTGAATTGAACCAAACATGCTGAATGTGCTTGTTGAGGAAGGCCTTGAGGGCGCCGTGAAGGTTGGCTCTGGCGAGTGGCTCTCTGTGAAACACAAGTTGGGAGCCCCTAGTAATGCCCTTGTTCCTAGACTTAGTAGCGATGCACTTGTTACTACTAGTAAGGCACTTGTTTCTAGTAGCTTTTTGTTACTACTAGCAATGCCCCTTGTTCCTAGCAGCGATGCGCTTTGCTCCGAGTAGCTTCTTGCTCCTAGTGGTAAGGCCAGGAGCCCCTAGTAGTGTCCGATCGCTCCTAGTAACAATGCCCTGGGTGGGTTTTGAAGCCAAGCACATGTGATGTTTCGTGTTGCTTGCATAATAATCTTCTGGACACTGCACAGCGAGCTTCAAAATGCGTTTTGTACAAACGATGAGCGTTGCGACTTGCCTTCAGCAGCTTGACTTTAGCAACTCTTAGCAATCGAATATTTTGGCCACTGCAGCTTTCGAGCCAAACACAGCACAGTTGGTAGTGGAGGCTGGGAGGGGATTGGTGTTCAAGTTCTACCGTTTAAAAAAAGTGTCCACAATTCCAAAGTATGAAGTATGCGGCTTGAGGGCGCTCCAGTTCCAGAAAGTCCTATTATTGGTCTGCCAAATGCCAGCTGTAGTGCAACTCCACAAATGATCACAAACTTGTGTTCAGGTCGGCATCTGGAACCTGCCAATTCACAATGCTCCCAGTTAGCCTGCTTCACTTCCAAACGGGATCCTAGCAGCACGATGTTCTCCCTGAAAAGAAGCCCCTGTAATCAGAACAAGAAATAACAAAAAGGTCTAAGGAAATGTATCCATCTGCCAGGGCCATCGATGAGATCACCTGCGATAACACCTGCACATGCGTGCCTGCCACGTAGCCAGGTGAGATGGGCCTTCCCACTTCCGAAAGAGTGCCTTTGGTTCGGGGCATGCGGTCGTTGGGGTTTTGGCAACAAAAAGGGAAGGTCTTTGCAGAACGTGGAGGACACATCCAATGCATCCAATACGCCAAGCAGCTAAGCAGCCCCTTCCGTTCTGACAATTGCCATGTAAATGCTTGGGGCCTGCTGCGGCATGGGGGAACTCACTCCGAATCCAGTGCCCCTCGTCTGAGGTGCAAATGCACTCTGATCACCTCTGAGCACTCAGCAGTCCGAGTCTGAGTAGAACCTCGGGGCTGCACACATGACAGGTCTATAGTTGAGAGTGGGCCAGAAGCTAGAACACATATGGTTTTAAACATGTCTTGTTTGTCTTGTTTAATGAACATGTTATGAAAGTTTTATGAACATGTTATGAACCAAGCATATTGTTTTTGTTTTATTAAAAAATAACGACATGTTTACGTTTATTTTTATATACAGCCAATTAAATTATGTGAAAATTGTATGATTGTTTAACTATTCACTATTCTTTATGGACTCAACAAATAAGGACACATACATATGCTTCAGAAAGTTTTCATCACAGTTTCTTTGTCCGGAGCATATATATAAAATATACAGTAAAAGGTTCATTAAAACAACACACACATTAAATTGACATAACATGTTCATACAATTTATGATGTATTTTATGCCTTTTTAGTTCTAATTTGCTCTTCGTTAAAAAAAAACTCATTTAAAACATCATACTGGAAATCAGGTTGAAAGCATATAAAATGATCATAGTAACATAATAAACACCTTTTTGTTAGTTTAATCATACATACATATTAAAAAGAGAGAGATTAAACAATACCAACATTTAAAAATAACCAACAACACACTTCTTTGGCTGTCTGCCTGACTCTCCAGTCTATAAGCCTTCATAGGGAATCTGCGGAGTCCAAACAAATACTTGCAAACCTATGAATCTGACTTGACATGTGCAGGTAGCAGTTCAACAACATATTTCAAAGTGCAACCGTAACGCCAGTTTAGTTTAGTCGTTCATGCACACCGTATTCCCTCATGCTATGCCAAAAAGTCAATTGGTCAGCATGCATGCCAATGTGACGTGGTTGTTCTTTTGGGTGACTCGCCCGCTTTTAAAGAACAAATGTTGCAAAACAACATCACATGGAAGAGCTTTTATGTTCAGTTTGCTGGCTGCTTGTGTCACTCTCAGCAAAAAACCATTGGTTCAAAAAGGCTCAACATATAATGGACTAGAATCGTGATGAGGAGAAATGTAGCAGCAGTAATCTTCTTTCTTAGAACATCAACCTCGTCCTCAGCGTTGATTTTAAGTAGGTTAGCCTGGTAGTCTGATGAACATGGGTATCCGATCGGGGTCTGGAGGGCCGATCATGCGGCTGGGAACTGGGAACACCTTTTTTTCCGTCTCATCTTTTCTCCTTTCCGTCAGGATGAGGAGATCCTGGAGCTTGAGACACCGCCTTCCCAATACTCTCGGTGTTGAGATCCTGGCGGAACGAGTGCGTCAAAGAAAAAACCTCCCAATGGCCAAGCCAAAAGGCATCTAGGACCAGCCTCCGAAATGAATTGCATTCCACAACAACAGGCGAACCAACGAATGACAATTTATAATCACTTAAGCAACCACTCTGTTTGTGAGAAGCCATCAGTTTCGTTGCATCGCAGCACTGTCAGCAGTCCAATTTTCGATCGAGCTAGGGTACACTGCTTCAGCTCCCATCTTGACTCGTCATGGACTCCTCGGGTGGAGCACAGGGCCCAGGGCCACAGCACGTCATCAACCCAAAATCAGAAAACTTCTAGCCGCAAGCAGCGCAAGCTGTTGAGGTCTGAGACAAGTTGGTGCCCCTACCTTTACACTTAAAAGTTAGAAAAGCATGATCACAAAAACACATAGAAACACCATGGTTGCAAAACATGATTCAGTCTGCACTATCCGATAAACTCTGATATACTCCGATGGAGTTTGGTCCAAGTGTCAAAGGGCCAGAGGCCAAAACGTGAGCCAGCTCGCCAAAGTAGGTTCGCCACTCGCGCTTGAGTGCGCGCATGATGGGGTCTGGCTGACCCACATCCTGAAGTTTTACCTTCAACCAGCTCCGGTACCGCTGACGTGCACCAATGTAGTGGTACAGGAGGATCGCCTCAGTCTCATGGAGTCGCCCGTGAGGGGACTGATCAAGAAGCTACTAGGGGCTCCTGGCTACGAACAAGAAGCCTTCATTGGTCGGTCTCTGTGAGTTGGTCGGGCCACTGTAAGAGGGGTCCTAGTAGCTTCTTGTTACTACTAGTAAGGCACTTGTTACTACTAGCGTGGCACTTGTTCCTAGTAGCTTTTCCTGTGACGCTTCAGGTGTCAAAAGTGGGACAGTGTCCTGCGGCCCCCTGCCTTCAGCACAAAGTTCAGCACTGTAAGCACCAGCACCAGCCATGTCATCAACCTACACCAAAGCCACCGTTCGCGATCTGCCGGCACATAGAAATAGAACAGGCCAATTCCTGGATGGTTGAACCGAAGCTACCAAGCAGTGGAGTTGCTGTACTGGATCAGGAGTGGTTGGAGATGAAGTGAGCCGAGGCGAGGGTGCATAAGTTTAAACAACACGACGAGTCGGAGGCAACACAAAATGATAGGATTCCAAATGACCGTGCCAGGTGACACCGGAAACACTGTGAAACATCATATGAGTTTGTGGGGGGCGAAGGGTAAGAATGGCTCAAACGTGACCGACTAGCCACGACTAGCCCATGCTACCTGACTGGTGCAAGGCTCGTGTTTCCAAAGTCCACACCAAGCCCAAGGTAAGTGCGACGTCTGCCAGCAGCACAGGAACTTGCGACAAAATGCCGTGCAGGCTTTGAGTTGTGTACATGTCCTTCAAGGCTTTGCAGGCTTTGGACCCCCAGTGATGGCTCAAACAAATCATGAAATCGATGAAGCTTCCCCAGCAGCTGATTTGAGATGATGGCAAAATATGAACTCCCCCGTCTCTCTTTTCCAAAACCGAAGCGAACAACTCTGAAGCATGGCACTGTCGATCATACAATTGTGTCTTCAAGGAAGCTTCATCTAGGCCAAGCTCTGGTGCGTTCCTGCTACTTGGCTTGCCTCCCCCTTTCATCCTACCACTCCCCCGGTACAATACAGCATCGAACACAGAGCAAAACAATGGTATAATCCGGCGTAGTTGTTCCTCCAACCTGCTAGCTATGGTGAAGGCCTCCAATCCACTAGCGATGGCCTCCAACCTAGTAGCATGACAATAGTTGTTTCAAAACGTTCAATAGGTCCTTGTTGGGGAAGCCCAGAATGAAGGCACGGGGCCCATACAGCTTCCCGCCAAAGGCGACAAAGGGTTGGCATTGTTTGTCCGGATGTAAAAGTGAAACAGCGTCTCGGACCTGAGATGAAACACGGATTTTACCATTTAAGTACTAACTTGCACATCTGAAACACCTATTTGTTGGATGAACTTGGTGAATTTAATGTCAGAGTAGTGTGAAACGGCAAACACATGCACAGGACCTGTAATGCACTGTGCTCCTTCTTCTTACTTGATGAAGTAACCGCCTAATTAGTCATGCACCCAAAGAAGAGAAAACAAGCAAAAAGAACAACTTTTGACTAGCCACAACCTTTGCAGTCTAGGCACCATTCTGGGCAGCGTGAACATCTCCACGATGGTGCTGCTGAAGAGAAGGCCAAAGCGACCAAAGCATCCGACGTTGGTGACCTTAAGTCTCTGGGCGTTTTCGGCACAACCTGCGTGGCGCGCATGCTGTCCACAGTGATCCCGAAAGGTGAATGATGTCCAATCGTTCCTTTCATTGCTCCTAGTAGTAAGGCCAGGAGCCCCTAGTAGCGTCCTTGCTCCTAGTAGCGATGCCTGGAGCCCCTAGTAGCTTCTTGTTCCTGGTAGTAAGGCCAGGAGCCCCTAGTAGCGTCCTTTACTGTCATGTTCATTGAGGGTGGACAAAACCATGTGGCCACGCTCGTGCCAGGGCCGGGAGGCATATTCCCCCTTGTCAAACCAATCAAGGACGATGGCGCGCTGAGCTCTGCGTAGGGAGATGTAGAGCCATAGAAAACGAGAGATGAGGAAGAGGGAGAGAATGTGGCAATCGAAAAGGCCAGAAAGCTCCTGCAGGTTGGACATCAAGGGAAAATCTAAAGATTACAACATAAACATCCGTACAATCGCCAATGTCTCCAAACCTTCCTTTGTGTGTGCACTGGATGTGCTAAATCCTTGTCTATGAGTTCTCACTGCATAGCTCCTTTGTTGTGACGATCTCTACCAACAGGTTGAACATGGCAATGTTGTAAAATGCTGTACCTCGATTGGTGGAGAAGAATGACATCTGTTCAGAAAAGATTTGCCAAACGCCCAGGTCTAAGTCTAAGCCCTAGCCAAAACAATTGCTTCAACAGAACGTTCTGAATGTTGCGAAGGTACACGAAGCTCTTGCTAATGCCTCGCACAACCTCATGGCAAAGCTGCTGTATGTCAAGAGTCGTCCATAGAAAACCTCATCTTCGTCATCGTCTTCGTTGCAATCCAATCTCCGCGCTTCGTCAGGGACTGGAGCATTTTCCTACAGAAGCTAGACTGAAGAACCACAAAGGATCTGCACTTTCAGCTGCAGCTGCACATTGTATCCACCAGTATCCAACAAGCTTAGAAACGATTTCATTGATTTCATTCGCGACGAACTCCTCTAAGTGCAGAAAAGGCTCTTCCGACGTGCGTTTGGAATGGTGTCTTGGGTCCTCATAGAGAACTTTCCCGGAGAGGGTGTACCAAAACTCTGTGCGCACGCGCTCATTGGCATTCACCAAGGCAAGCTTCTCCACGACTACGGCTGGGATTGAAGGAAGTCCGCAGCTCCAAATGGTCTTACGGCCGATTTCCTTGGATCTTTCAGATAGCATCCGCACGATGCAACATGTACATCAACCAACTAATCTGAAACTCTCTGAACCTTTCACTTTCACTCTTTAGAATGCACAGCAAAACTGAGCCGTTTTCACCCTGCCCCGGGCCCCAGCTCCAATTCTGCGCAAATCCCGAGAACATCCGTTGACTGCTGCGCCAAGCCACCTCTCCTGGCCGACAGCGCAACATGGACTTGGCCGTCTTCCTTAGGGATGGTGCCCGCTGGCTGTCGCTGAAGACTGGTGGGAAGACCAAAACGAAATCGTAGCAATCTGCTCTAGCAGCTCTATGCAGCTCTAGCAGTGAGCCAACACGAGAAACAACTTGGCCGCGCAATTCTATTGCTACTGAATGAAACTTCCGTGAAGCTCACGGGAACTTCTGGTTGCAGCGAAGCTTGGAATATCCAAGGCGGTCATCAGTCTTGCACAGTTGTTTGGCTTCTTCATGCTTCTTCCAAATCCAAGTCACTCCATTTACGCGGGAGTGTTCGGGTGTATTCCAATGCACGACATGAACTCATTTATGCTTGACTTGTGTTGGATACTGTTGAATGAAAGCCCGTTCTGCTGGCATTTACTGGGCCAGGTTTCAGTTTGATAGACCTTTGCACCCAATCGCATCTCAAATCCTCTGCCTTCGGGTCATCTGGGAGTGTCCAGCGGCCCAGGTAACCTGTGGGTGACCTTTGTGGCTCATCACAGCATCGGCCGCCGAAGAGCTGCAAGAACCAACCCATCGGGCCTCCAAAGCGTTGTGAAAGCAGAGTCTCCAAAACATCTTTTTCCTCTATATATACACCTTTATAGACCTTTAAGACTACTTTGAACCTTTTCTTTGTTCATTCCTTTTTCCTTTTCTCTCTTTCTGCTTCCTGCTCGTTCTTTTTTATCTTTCTTTAGATCTAAAAAGGGAGAACCCACCTCAAATGGTCGGCACACCTTGTTAAAAAGTAACATCAACCAAACCAGATCGACTCTCGCTTGACGTATTGCCCAGGTTGAATGTGTCTTTGTCCAGTGCAAGTTCCTTTCGTTCAATGCACGACCAGGTTTGATTTTTCTCTACCCTTTTTTGGTGAAATTGACGCACAAACTAGATGCAGTTGTCCTTGGCGCTCTCTGTTTTGCCGCTTTTCTATTGGCAGTTTCGGGACTTGTACTCTCCTACTCGCCCAATGTCCACTTGATCCATTTATACCTCCACACGCCTGGGTCCTCGAGCTGTCCGGGCACTTGGGAATCTTCGAAGAAGAAATGTTTCTTCAGGAGCTTCTCCCTCACTGTTCGAGCAGACATTGTCATATCTGAATGCGGATCCGCCAGCCAACGTTTGTATTTCACGGCTGTCTGGATGTGAGATATGATCTTGTAAGTCTTTACAGAGTTCAAGATCACGTCCCAAATGAGGCTGACCAAGAGAAGTCCAGATTGCTGAAGAAGTACGAACATGTAAACCTTGAAGGCCATACAAGGAATTTTCACCAAGGCCATGTTCGGCAGCAGCGTGAGAACGCCAACCGACTCTTCAAAATGGAACATCACCTGGACAGAGACTCCAGCACCCTGTCGGACGCGCAATTGAATTACAAAACAAAACAAGCACATGCGGAGTGCATTCGTATATGCATACTTTACGGTATAATATATGTATATGTATGTATGTGTATATAATATAACATATGTATGTAATGATTGTGTGTGTGTTGCCTCCTATTGATTGAATGTGACACTGTTTCGAAAAGACCGGCCTTATTGACAAAGCCAAGCGCAAAGAATCGAGGGATTTTGCCTCGATAACTGAGCGCTGCAAATTTCATGGCGCCTTTGCGTGGGTGACAGAGCTGTAGGACATCAGTGACGAGGTTGGGGATGGCAAACAACCTGTCCAAGCCAATCACTTGGAAACGTGGCATGCAAATGTCAGGACACAACTGTTCAAGGCTTTACGATCGAATTGAAGACGTAATGTAGCACGCATTAGCACGCAGTATATATGTCACACATCTAGATTGAAAATGCAGGCACCCAAAGGAATAGAGGAAACAATATTTAATTGTGTTAGCCCACAGCTCAGTGGACCCCTGCTGCATTAGCCGTACGGACAAAGGGCAAAAACACCACATGAACCTTGGCGCTTTCCCATGCTTTCCCACTTCCTCCAAATCAAGAATTGAATTAGTCGGTTGGAGGCCATATGAGGCCATCGCTATTAGGTTGGAGTCCATTGGTAGTAGGTGGGAGGTAAGGACCCGTAAGGACTTCAAGGACTTCAGAAAATTGAGAGTCTGTCCAAATCAATTGACTCAGTAGGTCTCCCTATGCTTCCTACTTGATGGGTCCATGAGGCTGAGGGCCTCTAACAAGAAAACCCTCTGCTTGCAGTGAGCTTAACCGAGCATTCGATCTCACAACTAGTAGCGTCCGACCGCTCCTAGGTTCAAGTAATCAAGTAGGTGTTCCGAACGTGGGCCCAGCAACTGGAAATAGACCAAGGAGAGGCGGACTTGCAGGTTTGATGCCAAGCGATCTTTGGCAGGGCGTTCGCAAGAAACACCATCAGGAGCTCCTGTCGGCCAAACCAAATCCCCCACGTAGTCGATATCCGCTTTCACCTGAAGTGCTGGCCATCATGACGGGACAAAACAAACCCACAACTGAATGCAAAGCTGTGTTTTCTGAAGAATCTAAAATATACGTATGGGTTGCTCATTGACATCACTCCGTTCAGTTAGTTGTTCAAGGCTAGCGGGGCTCATTTTTGATTCCAAAAAGCCTGATCGTTTGCTCTTCCCCAAGATGTTAGCACCCAAATGAGCATGTACAAGACCACGAGGACCACGATGGCCATGACCACCACTGCACCTTGGAAGAGCAAAAACAAATCAAAACACATATTGTGATGGTCTTGATAGTACGCGAATTCAAGCACTTGTTATGCTCTGCTCAGTTGTGCTCTGAAACCCCTTGCCTACTCAGATTCATCTCAAGTCTGCTCCACACATGCATCACCCCCCTCTCTCTGCATGTTTTCTTTGAGTTGTTGTGGGACAAGGAAAACAGCATGTCGACATAGGCATTGTATTGGATGGTGTCATGTGATGTCATATTGCAGTCTTCTTCTCTGCCACGGCCACACCCTGCCTTCTTTGGAGTTTCGAAGCTCTACGAACTCTTTGTCGGTAAGCAGGCTAATGCAAAGCTGTATGGAGGTCATTCGGTCAAAGGAGGAGAGCACCACCATCAGGAGGCTCGAGCTAAGTCTTTGAAGATGAGAATGCTGCGAAAGTATGCAGCCTTGGTGTCCAGCTGAGAGTGCCATTTGTAAGAAGGGTGAGCAGGTTAGACAGAAATTCTTGAGATGTGCTTAGGCTAAGCTACTGTAGATGGAAACATGTTTCACATTGTTTCACGCATGTCAGTTCACACCACAGCAGGGATTATAAGTATATAGAGTAGAGGTTGAGACCTTGGACCTTGGCCACAAAATGGAGAAGGCAACATGCACGGCAAAAGCCAAGCGATTGCACCCAGTGGCTGTAAGAGCTGTCTTCATCGGGCCTCCACTCTTTCAAAACCTCACGTTTAGCGCTGTCCAAGGTGAGGCTTTTGTGCAAATGCCTTCCCAAAGCATGCGCTGACCTCACGATGGAACCATGAGTTCATCACAGAATGTCTAAACGTTCCCATCCATGCCACAGGAGGTCTGCAAGAGAATGCTATCATTTTAAGGGTGGAGGCCATCATCGCTACTAGGTTGGAAGCCACCGCTCTTAGGTTGGAGCCCATCGCTCTTACAATTGAGGTAGGACAAAGCCGGTACTGCTAGAATTCTGACTGCCTGCCCACCTTGGAGTGGAGGAGGCCGACATGATGGATATGGATTGAGTCAAGCTTATGGGCTGTGGTTGCTCCTCCTCATCACAAAGATGCAGCTGGTGAGCCAAATAATCCATAGCGGACTCTTCGCCGAAAACGGCTCCCGTCTCCTCCTAGACGTTGTGCAAACCGCGGTGGCGCTTCAAGGGGTTCAACATCGTTACGATACGCCGACGCCGTACGAGGACAACAAACACATGTCGAAAACGAACTGATGGCATCTTAAATTAAGCATCCTCAGAAAACGAACTGGTCAGTATATACTTATATAGATAAGTTAGGGCCTCTTTTGATACAATTGTGCTATAACTATGGCTAATATCGTATTTTCCATTATGTATTATATATATATATATATCTTATCCGTTATGTTGTTTTTGAACATGTAGACATTGGGGAGTTGCTGGTGAGTGAATGGGGTATAATGGGGTTCGAGTTTTCCACTTTGGGGTCACAACCTTCAGTGCCCTGGGTTCTGAATGTGAAGGAAACTTCGGAGTCTGGAGTTTCTCCTCTTGTCTCAGGTTCCCATAGGTTCAAGTGTTGTACAGCTTTACCTGTACATATTCATTCACCCACATGAGAGACTGTTATTCCCCTCCGAGGCTCGATGGAGAGAAAAGAAACGTAGCTAAGTAGGGCCAGGCGGCCAGGAGCCCCTAGTAGCTTCTTGTTACTACTAGTAAGGCACTTGTCACTAGTAGCGATGCACTTGTTACTGCCGTAGCAATGTTGCCAAGTTTCCACAGCAATACTTCAAGCAGTGCTTCTATGACCACAAACGCCCCAACAGGAAATACATAGCTACTACATTACAAAATACACTGTTTGCTCTACTCTTCACAAAAAAACAATGCTTGCTAGTAGCTGTCTTGCACCGAGTACGGCAAACATGGGTAAGCCTCTTTAATACTCGCAGAAGTCCTGGCTCAAATCCCAAAGACCATGTTTGGCAGAGCCTTGTATAAACCCTGGGGTTTGAGGCAGGAATCCATCCGGGGGCATGACAGTCTTCAGTCTTGAGTTTCATCATGTTTGTCTGAGGCACATTGAAGAAGAAGCCTGTACGAAGAGGCTTGTGCCCTCGGTGCAGGATCTGCTCCATCAATCCTGTGAGAAATCGATCATTAAATCGTGGCTGCCCATGTGGAGGATCGAACAGGGTGCGGCCCTTGCGATGGTAAACTCCTCAGAGGACAAGCATACGGGCACGTGAGGCATGCGTTGAAATGGACAAGAAACTGGCAAAGGACATCAATGGACATGATTTTGTGACATTGAGGCCACCAATCAAACCTGACCAAGCATGTTTGTTTGTTGTTCAGGACTTACAAGTAGACGTGACATCACTGCGCCCAGCTCGATGATTCCAAACATGTTTGTTCGGGCCCTTCAAATGGACCATGCTAGGACACAACATTTTCCTAATCAACATCTGCGGATTTGCCATCAGTGAGAGAAAAAGACACCACTTGCACCAAAGGATCTGCCACTTGGGTAGTGCAAAGGCCACCAGGGGAAAGGGCAGCTAGGGCATAGATAGCCATCCCCTGGTTCCTCAGACAGCCAGGTGCAAACATCTGAAACCATCTGAAAATATCTGAAACCCCTCAACTGGCCTAACAAATCCACAGGACACAAATGGATACAATGCCATCCCTCACACTGTGGCTCACTGGACAGCTTCTGGAAACACAATACCGCAACACCGAGTAACATGGAACATTCGGTCGCCATTAGAGGTGTTTGTCACATTGTCTTAAGTCTGCGCCTTAGGTTGGAGGCCATCGCTATAAATGCAACGTGCAACGTTGAAGCTGCGCTTTCGCCGGGCTGGCCCTACCGTCCTACTTGTACTATCTTGTGCTATCATGTACCTCAACAGTTCATCCAAACCTATTTCAGGACCAATGCCACCAATATGCCAACCAATTCATGCTGAGCTTCAGAATCTTCTTCCACGGGATGCAGCGGAAGCACCTGCCCAGATTCCACTCCCTCAACTGGAGGATCCTGCGGCAGCTGGGTGTGCTCCCCCTCCAATGGCTCAAGGAAGGTGACCATGCGAGCTGCTTTTTGCAGGCGAAAGGTCCCACCCTTCAAGCAGTTGTGCTCAAGCTAATCTTGCATGATACAACATGAAGCTCTTTGACTTACAAGTTCCATGCTTAATTTCGTCGTACATGCCATTTGGATGCAGTATGATGTTCTGCACATGCCAGTTCTGGTTTTCCATGCTCTAGTTGGTATGAACGCTGTGTATGATCATCGCTTTGCTCTGCAAATTCGTCATGCGCATTTGAGCCATAAGTGCTTTGCGGTGGACGATGCTGCTCACCAAATGAGTCACGAGTCACTGCACTACCGAATAAGTCACTGCTTACATCGAGGACACCGGGCAGTGATGCAAATCATGGGCTTCCGATGACGTTCGATGGCTTCTCTCACCATGAGTATAGAGATTCTCCTCGTCGACCGTTGGTCTTGAAATACGGGGAGACGCAGCGTCTTGACGCCAAAGACTTGCAGAACCTGCACAGGTTGCTTTCGTTGCTTTGCAGTTCACATGGTCACTTGCACTTTATTTGTTATAATATGTATATATATATATCTCTCTCTCTCTCTTCCAGCCATTCTGCTACCTTTTGCACTGTTGTGATGCGTCAATGGCATTTAAACCATGACGCGAAAAAATGTTGCAAGTGGAATTGCATCTATAGCAATGACCAAGATTTGCATGTTGAACCTGTATATGTGCAACCGAGAAAAGCCAAGCAACTCGCGGTTTGAAGACCCAAAGTTCTTTCCCAACCAGCTTCGCTCCGTCTGGATGTGCATGGTAAAGCGTGACTCCTCACACTGACACGTGACGCCTGTGATGAGAATTGGGGTCGCAGCATCAACAAGATCAGACAGATTGTCGAAACTGCCATCAGCAACCATTTAAGAACAAATGTCGGAAGGTCGTGGGTATATAATGTAGCACTTTTCCGCTGCTTCTGTCTGCTACTTTTCCGGGCTCGCAAAGACTTCACCTTAAGAACACTTTGAAGAAAAGGTCATCCAAGCTACTAGAAACAAGTGCATCGCTACTAGTAACAAGTGCCTTACTAGTAGTAACAAGAAGCTATTAGAAACAAGTGCAGCTGAGGATTTCGTAGCTTGGGTGGCCTCTTCTGCACGAGATGCTCGAGCCCCGGTCGGGTTTTCCGTTCTTCCCCTCCTGGGTCCCAATGAACGCGGTAGCCCTTGCAGCAATCCACATCCTCGATCCACCGGGATCAGCTACTGGTATGTTCAGGTCCCTCAATTTGTGTTGAACTGTAATGAACTGTAATGGTTTCTGCTAGCTTCTTGTTACTACTAGTAAGGCACTTGTTACTAGTAGCGATGCACTTGTTACTAGAAGCTTATTGTTTCTACTAGCTTCTTGTGTTGAACTGTAGTCTATAGGATTTCTGATAGTATCTGACTCCGATCGCTCATTGTGACATCGAAGCGGTTTTGGACAATAGAATGCGGTACAGGTGCGCAACTCTATTTCTCTGCTCAGGGCATCTTAACTTATCCAAGTCATGTCATCAGTTGAGCTGTTTCAAAACAAGTCAAAACATGCCGAAATCTGCTAGACGTTGAATGACGCTACTAGCTGTATGATCAGGATACGCGCCCTTTGGACTGCGAACATCTATTCCTGGGGCCCGGTCTCAATGGCAGCTAGTTCACCTTCCAATAAGCCTGGAAGAATTGGCCCGAATTCACTTGCAAAGCCCTGAACATGTTTGCAATCTTTATATAGACAATGCAGTACAGCATAGTACAGAATGGCTTCATGTCAGATTCTCTCACCACGTCTCCATGATGTGCCGCATTATGCCGCCAATCTAGTCTAAAAGCTCTTTGCATCCTAGCATCCACTGAGGTCTGCCTGGGTCAACGCGGCCAACTGACGAAGCTACCGGCTCTTTGCTTTGACATCCCTTGGGTGTTTACTGCTTCAGGGACTGGTGGCTCATGGTCTCATGGTGGGTCTTAGAACTTGATATGTTCAGTATCTATCAGTCTCTATCAGTCTCTTGGATATCTGGCTCAGTCTGCGACATCACGAAAATCTTCCAAGAAGAAGACCTCACCTGGCAGCCAACTTGAGAAGAACAATGCGAGGCTGCGCCACAAGACTTGAACGATGTTCCAGCCATGACGATCGCAACAATTAAAATTCACATCCATTGACGATCAAAATTGAGAATTGGAGTAGCCTTTTAAGAGTTGTTCAATTCTGATTGCAGTCCAGGAAGTAGGTCGGGGAGAGGTGTTGCATGTTACTGAGGCCAAGCATTGCAAGTTCATAGGTGAATTGAAGGAGGGCTATAATCATTATTCCTGCCCTCCAGGTTCATTATTCCTGCCCTTCAGGTTCATTAAATGGGCCGCTGGGGACCCTTCCAGAAACATTTCCGGGCATGCTTGCAATACACTTGGCTGGCTTCACTTGACCACCCGCACACCCGTAGGCTATGATACTACTGTATCTGTTCCATGAATCTATCTTGATTGAGATGCTTGGTTCGCACAGGTGAAGGTGCACCGCTTCGCCTGTCCGGACACCTGATTTCAAGTTGTCCCTCAAGTCGTTGGGAGCATCAGTTGCGACATACACCTGGAGAAGCGTAGGCAGTGTAGGTGCAAACGGCCGCTCAGCTGCTCTGCGGCGTAGGTGCAAGCTGCAAACAACATCAAACAACAAACATCTGGAATCTGCATGGAGTCGAGCCTGAAGAAAATGCGCAAAGAAGCGTCTTTCCGTGATGTATCCAAGCAAAATCAACGAGTGTAGGAATTGGCTGGGATCCACCTGCCTACAACCACCGGTTGGTTTTCATTGAGCGGTCCATAAGCTTGAACCATTTACCGCATTCAAATGCTGGAAACCAGTCGGAGGCGGCAACTGCTGCAGGACACTTTGTCACACTTAAATGGACATGTTTTTGACTGACACCTAGTCCGTTTCTCTCTGACAAGCACCTGGCTAGGTGAGTTTCTACTCAAAATGCCAAGTTGCACCCATGGCTTCCAAAGACCCCCCCCAGTCGGTTGGAGGCCATTGCTATTAGGTTCCTTAGAAGGTCGCAAGACAAGTCGTGCCTGGTCAAGGTTGAAGTCTGCCAAGGCCAGCTCCAGTTGCTCCACCACAGCTTCCACGCTCGGGGTCGTTGCTTCCCGGACCTTGAGGAAGTCTGTGCCTTGAAAGAACCGAGTCACAGAAATCGAGTCCAAAGAGTGTCCAAAGAGATTCTTTTGATTGATTGGTGGAGAGGCTGTGTCCCGGCTGCACGAAAGCTTGCTTTCATACTTGGGGGTCGTAGCAAGCAACTTCACCCTCTCAAAAGTGGGAAGGGTCCGATTCATATGAGGATGATATTATAGGTCTGGAGCTGAGAACCCCGAAACTAAATACTGACACGGTGTCACTGACAGGTGCAGTCTAATTATTCAAGAGATGCATGATGCAGGGAATAATAGAGCCGAATAGGGACAAATGAATGTAGCGCAACAAGCAAAGAGTAGCCGAGTAGCAACACGTCCGGCAATTCCAGTTACATCAATGCGCTACACTGCTACAAGACCTTTGTTGGAGGGCACAAGAGAAGGCTGGCTGCACCATCTGCCAAAATGACCATCCGCTTCCCCATATTTTGGTGAAGCCGAGCAACGCCGGCAATGGACGGCCAAAAAGGGCTTTGACTGCAGAACATCTCGCATATACCTGGGGTAGAGGTCTTGCCGGTTCTTGCTTATTTGGGACATGTCACCTGTCCCTTCAACCCCCACAACGGTTTAGATGCAGGCATCTATGCACTGACTTTAAGTATATACTTTCGTTGAACTGCCACTGCTGTCAGAAGAAGCCGCACAAACAAGAATGTTTGGCAGCTATCTGATGCCAGGTGTTTGGTCGTTATGTTTTGTAAAAACAAAAACGATGTCTAGTAGCAAGGACGCTACTAGGAGCAAAGGGCATCCCTACTAGGAACAGGGACGCTACTAGGGGCTCCTGTCTTTGCTACTAGGAGCAAGAAGCTACTAGGGGCTCCTGGCCCTACTACTAGGAGCAAGGACGCTACTAGGGGCTCCTGGGCTCCTGGCCTTACTACTAATAACCAGAAGCTATTAGAAACAAGAAACGCTGTCTCCGTTGTCTCCAAGTTCCCGCCTTTCGCCCAGATCGCGGAGGGGCTTCGCAAAGAGCATGGCCTCACGAAGGCCCAAAGCATCCAATTCCTCCTGGCCGATGAATGCGTTGATGGATCTCAGACATGAAACAAAGGCGTTTGAACATGTTTGAACATCAACCGCCTTGTTGGTGGTAGCAAGTATAAGAACAATATAAGGCAGTTATATGTGTCCACCCCCAAATTCAGCATCACCCGTTCACACATTGTAGACTCGCGCGATAACGAGCTGTTGAGGTTGCAAGAACAGTAGCCAGTGGTCAAAGCTCCTTGCCGGGAGGCGATACTGAATCAGCAGCTTTTAGCAAGACCTGAGTCAAAGAATGCAGTCTTCCAATATCGCTTAGAAGGAAGCCGCCGCAAGGAAAGAACTGGTGGCCCAAGACTACTACTCGTGTATACATTACCCATTGCCGTTCCTGCATGTTCCTGCAACTCCCTGCCACATGCAAACAACTTACAAAGAACAACTGCAGGCTTGCACCTTGTAACATGGTGCCATACTAACCGGGTGGTATACACTACGACCTAAGTGCCACTAGTGGTACTGTATACGGTCACGAACGTTGTGAAGCTGCCAAGTGGCAGATCGCGCCCCTTCACGCATCGCTGAAAGGGCCAGGTCCACCCAATCGCCTGCAGCGAGCCGAGGGTCCCGAGGGTCATGGTCCAAACAGTTGACCTTAATACCAAAGCTGAGTAATCCAAGAAGCGAAGTGGTTCTTTCTTTAGAGCCTAATAGCAATGACCTCCAACCTACTACACAGCACTCTGACTCACAGCAGGTGAATGGCATCACCTCTTTGTAGTCATTGTAGAGGACAATGGTCTTTCCAGTGCCCATGCGCCACTTCCATGTTAGTGAGTCGGAGCGT